ACTAACTATATATATATATATATATATATATATATACACTCATTGCAAATTGATATAAATCTGTTTCAGCTTATAAGGATCATTTATGGGGGTTATCATGTGTCACTTCAGAGTTACCAGTCCCACATCAGCAACGTTGGTTGAGAGATTCAAAGCACAAAGAAAGGTTTATGTTAACTGAAAATCTACAGTCACAAATACATATCTGGGTAGCCATCAACTCCTACAAGTAAGATTAAGGAAGCTGCAAATAATAAAAGAAAACCATCCTACTTGTCAAATATGAACACCTAAAAACCAAGGAACGCAACTGGAAGACAAAGTAACTAACAAGTCTGAAATGATGAAAAAAAGTAGACAAAGAATTAAAATATGAACATTGCCCAAAACCTATTGTATGAAACAAGTTAGAAATATATATGAATTTTGTAGGGCACCCCAAGCATGTACATAAGAATCAGCAGCGAGATACGCACAAGAAAATGTCAACTAGAATCCCACTAAAATCTTTCAGCATAGAAAATCTTGAGATATTAAGGAAGAATATTAGATGTTAAGCAGGCAGTTAAATATCTGCCTAAGTAGTCTAAAGAAAGAAAGAAAACTGATTAACATCCCTTCTTCAATCTAAGCAACAAATTTAAAGAGATGTATTCAAGGACTAATAGTAAGAATAGAAAAGTATCTCATCCAGTCAGGAAGAAGCAAGTTTCTCTCTCTCTCTCTCACACTCAAATCAAATTACAAGTTCCGACTTCAAAGAAGAGACAGTTCAGTGAAAGAGAAAAATGCATCAAGTAATTTACAAAGCTCAGCATTTGAAGACTAAAAACAATGAATCACCCATTAAAGCAAAAGAGGATATAGGCAACAAAAATGAGAGAAAAGCAAGCCAGTTAGGAATAAAATGTATAATCTACGAGACACTGAACATCCACTATCTGCAAGATACAGGAGTAGTAGCAGTAGAGCTGTACGATTAACTCAATTTATCGATATAGTTGGTTACCTATGAGCATCTATTACCTTGACTAGCGTCAGGTAAAATAATCAACTAATCAAAATTACAGTTAAATTGATTAATGTCACAAAAATAATCAACTAATGGAAATTAGTGTTTCCAATTATTACTATTTTCAATTACTTTCAAGTCTTATGTGAGAATAACCAATTAGTTGAATGTAATCGATTAATGAGCCTAAAAATTAATCAATTAACAAATACCACTAATTATCTAGCTCTACCTAAAAGAAGAAGAAATAGGAATTAAGAAAATTTTTAAGAAATGTATACTACAGAATGCATGACAAGTATAAATATAACTAAGCTTTAAGTACAGAAAAACACTTAAACATCTTCCACTAAATACAAAAAAAGCAAGCCTAAAATAAAAACAACTGCTTAATAGCACATCAGAAATAAAGTACTTTGATAAAGTAATACATGCAAACAAATAGCAAAGAACAACTGGATGGAAGTGTAGTTTCATTAAGAAAACACACACAGTGAGAACAAAGCTAATGGCTTTCAAATCAAACTAGTTAAGAAACTGAAAACCCAACTGAAAATATACTTTCACTAATAAAGTAAACACTCCTGTAATTGGGTGGAAGTATTGGTATGAAAAGCCTATACTTTTTGACAAAAGTCAATCCTCGTACACATTATAAAGAAAAGTGAATGTTAATTAAGGACATAATCTTAATATATTAAAGGCAGAGAAAAAGTATACAACCTGTTATTCTAATGGTATTTACCTCAATTCCATCAAGAAAAATTTCTTTTATAATTTTATGTTGAACACAGAGAAGAGAAATGTAGGTTTCAAAGTCATTCTGCTGCTTCAGGATTACACCAGTCTTCCATCATGGTGGTCATTACCTGCAATATCCAGAGTTTTCCTGAAATAACAAATCCAAAGATTAAGTCAAAAATAAACTATCTCCAAACAACTGTTTAAAACTTTCCATACAAGTATTAATCACATGAAAGAAGAGAAAAAACTGTAACAACAGTATTTTTTTATTTTCATTTTTCTCTGAAGTCTTTATTGGAAGTCTCTAAAGACAAGCTAACTTATGTGTGTGCTGACTAGACCCTATTGTCAAAGTCTATAAACTAACTTGTATGTGCTGACTAGATATCTTGTTGTCAAAGTCTATCAACTAACTTGTATGTGCTGACTAGATATCTTGTTGTCAAAGTCTATCAACTAACTTGTATGTGCTGACTAGATATCTTGTTGTCAAAGTCTATCAACTAACTTGTATGTGCTGACTAGATCTCTTGTTGTCAAAGTCTATCAACTAACTTGTATGTGCTGACTAGATCTCTTATTGTCAAAGTCTATCAACTAACTTATATGTGCTGACTAGATCTCTTATTGTCAAAGTCTATCAACTAACTTATATGTGCTGACTAGATCTCTTATTGTCAAAGTCTATCAATACAGAAGATTTTTGGAAAGCAAGGATAAACACCATATGTTAAGCACATCACAAAACATCTGCACAAGCAGTCTATGGATTATTCAAATTAACATCTTAAGCAATAATAATAATATAAAAAAATTTACCCTGGAAACCTTTAGGATGTCATAGTTTTCATTAAACAGTAGACTGAATAAGGAAATCCCATGTATCCATAATCTAGATTGGAGATATGATGAAAAAAATAACCTTCGATAAACTTGGAATAAAAAAGGTGTCGTTATGGTAGGAAACACATTGCTTATGGTAACTAACAAATACAGATTCAGCATGATAAGATAACAAAGTTGTTGAAATATCTACAATGGAAAAAATAATTAAGTTGTTAGCCAAATTACCTTCATCAGATCTCAATAACAGTCTTTTGGTTGAGACACATATTAATTATATTGTTACTCAGTCCTTTACAGCAATTGTAACTGCTTTTATATTTCAGATCCTAAGAGTATCTAATTAGTTGATAAATTGTTAATCATTAGACTTTTCTGTCAAATTCATTAAAACCCAATGAATGAAGTTGAAGACGAACATAAGAAATCTTGTCATTCCTACTTTCTAGAATTTACAACACTTAAAAAAAATAAAAGTTCGTTTATCTACTAAGTGGGCAGTATTTAAATTAAACTTATTAGTACTTTTCTACATGCTTAAGGCCCTCAACATTCACAAGAATTGGTACAGAAAGATTAAATATAATTATTATGCAGAATTAATTTTTTGAAAATTTGACAGGTTTAATCTAGATTTCACATTATGAAGAATTTGAGTTTGTTACAGATTTTCTCAGCATGTTGAAGTTTTTAAACATGTAATTCAGATACTGTTTTATATTTTTTTACTACTACAGAGGGTAACGTTGTCAACATTTAACTGTGAAAGAGAACTAAGTACTAATAATCATAATGTAATAATTTTTACTGATTTTAAGTCCAACATTTTAGGAAAACCATCTTAAACTCACTGTTAAAAAACTTGAATTTGTGGTGGCTAAAGATAAATGGTTTTTTAAGTTCACTAAGCAAGCTGAAAAAATAAATATTTTTTCCAATATAAATTCCAACCAAATAACATTTCTTCATTACACGATTCTATGGAGGGGAGTAATTTACTATTAAGTGAAAAATATCTTAACTATCTAAACTTACTATGAGTTATAGAAAGTATGATGAATGAACTTATTAAAGTAATAATGACTCAAGAAAGCTAGATTTAAATACATTCTAAAAAACTTAAAGCAGTTGAAATAGAAAGGTAAAAAAAAATCAAATTTAATAAAAATAAAATCACATCAGTCATACAACTTCTCTAAGCAAGGATCTGCAAATTGCAATGGTATATTATCCAACAGTTTGGGTATAACTTATAAGAAAGTTTATAAATATTATTGTTGGTAACAATTTTACCCTTATACTCTTCATGCCTGGTCAAATCACCATTTTACAAGTCACAGATCATCGTTTTTCAAACCAAAATTTAACTTCGTTTGAAGAGCCACGCTTCTCTTCATTTCAAAATTATTTGCCCTCTTCGTTTTTTTGGATATTGACATATCACACATGTCTATCGCAGTGCATCTTTTACCACGATCGCTATTTTTAATATTGTCGGGTCATTCCATAACACATAATAACTAATAAACTAACGTTAATATATATAGTGGGATAGATGGCGCTAAATTATTCGAGTAAATATCAAATGACCGTACGAAAAGCAATTACAACTTTATAATAGAGGGCGCCTT